ATTTGGCCAAAAGCTTCTGAAATACGGTCAATTGTGAAGAACGACGTGAGCGGAATGTACACAGTGCCATTAGAACGCTCGTTCTTTTCATTACCCGATGCTTGTTTCTTTCAGATGTGAGTGGGTGGTTGTCGTTTTCATGTTGTTTGATAATTTGCGGAGGCCCACAAAATAAAGACAATAAAATCCACTTTGTTAAATGATGCTGCCCTTTTCGGTCTATTGCAGCGTTGAAGCTAGAATTTCCTTTCGCTCACGTGTCAGGATAAATAAAAGAAACCTTCTGCGTTTCAGACTGTGACCAAAAAAGCTGACTAGACGTGTTCATGACAAATGGGTGTTGTGGAAATTCATTTCGTTGCCACTGGAAGTAATGAAGGTAGACAAATATGAATGTTTCGTGACCCTATTATTTTGATTTTCATTTGACGACGCGGTTACATACGTTTTCATATTTGCTTTGCGAAATCGGAAATTTTGTCGATAATCTGATAATCGCAGTGGCGGAAGTTGATAGAACAGCTGAAAACAGTACGTATTCAATAATGAGATTTCCCACAACAGATTTGTGGGAGTAAGTCGACAATTTTGTAAGGTAAACATTTACCTACAAGTGCCCTTCAAAGTTGCTATCAAAAACAGTTAACCCAAGGACCTTAATATTCCCATTTGAAAGCAATTTTGGCGGTTTAGTCCACGAACTATGCTAAACTAACAAAGAACAATATTCCAGCTACGTTGAAAATGAATTAATTAGATCCCTGGGTGCTTTTCAACGTTTTTCCTCTCCGTTTCAAATAAAGCTTTCGTTTCGTAATCAACGCAACAGAATTTAGCTTTATTAATTACATTTGTGAGGATTCGCGCTTTCGTAATTTATAAGGGAAAACTTTAAAGTACCTTTAACGAGATAGTATATTTGCTTCGTACTAAGGGTAGATCGTCGGGATAAAAACTTGTTCGCTCCATTACGACCGGCCTTCCTTTCTGCCTCCAAGATAATGTAATTTACGCAGCTACCACGTGACCGTGTTGAACAGACCAAGCTATTTCAGATTTTTAGAATCGAAGGAAATCGCTTTTTACTTCAAAATGTATATCAAAAGTATGAATAATGTTAAAACATCTTTACCTTTGCTTTTACCTTCACATGCATAAAAAACTATAGACACGGATAGGTCTTCCGTTCTTGAGAACAAAATCTATAAGTTAAGATTTTATTTTGTGTAGAGCAGTCTCGCGTTTCCCCCGTCTTTAATTAACGGTGGATTTAATTTAAACTTCGATAATCAACGCCACCAGGATTCAACAGTTTTACCGACTTTGCCATGATCAACCGAAGTACTTCGACAATTTTAAATTATAAAAATTGATTAGTCAGATGCATTAGCAATATTTGTATTTGAAATGGGTTACGGTTACCCGTCTAACGCCAATATTTTGAATTTCCACTTTATGTGTATTTGGCTTGGATGGTAAACGGCGCATAAATTCTTATAAGCCAATTAAATCATTTAAGACATAAAGAAAAGGATCGCCAGATCTCTCACCCCTGTGTTACAACGTGAAAATCAGCTGTACTTAAAATGACAATGGATTTATATTTAATTAGCTTGCGGATAATAATTAGAGTGTGCTTCTGAACCATTTCAGAAATCTTTCCCTTATTGCAGTAGTGAGTAGGGGCACGTAGCTAGAGGAAATTTTATGGAATAGCCTGTACGTGGATCGAATTTTCTTTATACACCTTATTGCTTAAATCGACAGTGTAAATTCATTATTAAGATGATAATAAAACGGAGATCTCAGGAGCTAAACGATTGAATGGGGAAAGAATTTCAGTTTTATAAGTCTCTCTTTATTTTTGGATGGTTACATATCGCACAAAAACAATTTTTTTATATTTCTTTCGTTTAGCTATTCTTTTTGAGTTTTTCGTAGTGGAAACCATAATTTCTATTGAAAAAATAAAGTTGTCTCATCTTTAAAACTGTGATAAATCTGACATGAAAACTCTATCTGGGTCGCACGCACTGAAACAAAATCCCTGTAGGAAAGAAAAGATTGTTTGGGCATAGTACGCCGTACGCAAGTGGTCGATAAATAAAGCAAGAAATTTTGAAATTACTTACAGTTTTTTTCTGAATAATCCAAATAATCTGTTCGTACAAAATTTGCGATATAAGACGCACTTAACACAAACGCTGACAGCTTCCGAACTTCACTTTTTTTTTATTAAACTGAATCTTCATAAATGAGAAGAAATTTTCGGTGGGTGCTCGGACTGTAGACATTTTTATCTTTTAAGGAAAGACAAACCTAGACAAACCTTTTAGAAAGGTTTCATGATAAAACACGTGCGTTAATTAAATTTCACCTGATAAAACTCCTTATCGCAAACGACCGATGTCCTTACGTTTTAACACGCAATTTTAAGTTTTACAATTGTAAATATAAATAAACAATTTATAAAAGCGACAAAAGCAACAAGTATACAACTACCATACACTTTTATGATTTACTTAACCCATATGTAAAAACTTTAGGAAAATTCTGATACACATGCGGCATCTGATTTGAAGAAAAATCTTAATAGCGACTTAAAATTTCTCAAATAGAGAGACTCGGTTGCCTCGATTAGAGAATTGCAAAGAATTTATTACTCACATTTTGATCAACGCCTGAAATAAATTTTCGGTAAAATTTTGACATGAAAACTCTATCTGGGTCGCACAGAGGATTCGAATAAACACAAATTATTTGATTAACATTGACAAACATTTATTCCGAAACACATCACAATTAGAACAAATTCCCTGAAAGCACGAGAAGCTTACCAAGCTTGTGAGGACATAATACTCCGCACGCAGACGGTTGATAATTAAAAAATCTTAAATTACTACAGTTTTTTAAAAGAATCTAAATAATACGTCGTGAACGGTTTGCTATATTCAGGCGCAATTGTCAAAGACATGAAAACGCTCGCTGACAGTTTCAGGAAACTTCACTTAACCTGGATTTCGATAAATAACAAGAGAGATATTCGGTTGCTGCTCGGACGATAGAAACTTTTAATTTTCACTAAGCAAACAACTGCTCTGTCTAATGTTTTGGATATAATGATAAAAAACAAATGGTGGAATGGTTCCACTTTACATGTCCCTTTACAGAATTTCTTATTTCTAGTTTTCGCTAAAAAAATTCAGGATAACTAGATCAAGTTCGTGGCCACGGCCTTTGTGACTTACCCTTAAAATAATATCGAATTTAATAACAATATGCGGCACAATTTTTTATATTCACTTCCCCTAAAAATAATCATAATGGATCCACTAGATTGGAGACTCTTTTTGTTGATATCTGAACCAACTTTAAATGAAAAGCTCAACTTACTCACTCTATCAGTTCCAATTGTAATGAGTTCATCAGTGAGAAAATACATGCAATACAAAACATCAATGAAGCCACAGATTCTAGCCTTAATAAATTTTATTAGAACTTTATTCTCTGTACCTCGTAAACAGAATGTCATTGTAGATAACTCTGCTGGTACAAAAATAAGTTCGGAACGTTCTCCTTATAATGACAATGATGCGGACAATTAACTGGTGGAGTTGTTAATTGGAACTTTCTTGTCGGGAAACGTTTCTCGATGAAATTTCCTGTAAAGCAAATGTTCTTTGGACGCAGTGTATTTAAACGATTAGCTTTTGTGATTATTCACACCGAAGGACTCACTCGGGGCAAATTTTACACACAAAAATTTTACAAAGAAAAAGCGATAAACTTTTTATGGTTATGAATTTCACAAACAAAGTTCAATCTCCTTTTGTTCACTAACGACGTTAAGTAACAATGCGTACCTATTCTTCTTTCTACTAGTTCATTGTAACGGAAAAGAAATACCAAAGCGCGATTAATTATTTTGTCCTTGGTTGTTTTAATTTATGTTACCGAGCTGAGGTTCGGGAGACGTGTTAGGGGTACGCGGTCGCTACGTAGGATGAGCGCGAAAATGTTTGTCAACGGAAACAGGCCTGTTTATCAGAAACAGGTTGGCTGAGCAGAAACGGGTCTGTATCAGAAACAGGTTAAACGAAGCTGGGACCTACTTCTACTGAACAGAGCTGTTTCTATGGAACAGATCAGATTTTAATGAACAGACCTGTTTCTGATACATACGTTTCATGGAAATATCTTGTTTTTAATTTAAAAGCAAAAGTTTAAATCTGAATATGATCGTGCTTTTTTTCTAAGAGACGAAAAATAATTATTTGAGAGCTTTAAATTTAAATAACTAAAAATTAATTATAATTCGTTACATCGTTACATTCAGTGTAAACGAAAAATTACAGTTTATTTCCTGAATAAATAAGAATTTCTCACCAAAATGAAGTTAAAGTTCTATTTACAGATGAGCAGTGAATTTCTTATTAATCTCATGAATATTAAGGTTAAGTTAATTATTATAATTACAGGAAAGTATAATTGATGAAAACCAGTACTTATTTGGAAAAAGGGATTACTACTGAAATATAGGTTTCATGCATTTTTTTACTCTTTTCATCATGATATGCGTTTTCGTATTATTGTCATCCTTTCTCATTCTCTCCATGAGAATCTCCATTTAATATTGCTTTGAGTTACTTTTTATTTAAATTGGTCTCATATTATCCAATAAATATTGATCTTGCATTGTCAGCTAAGACCTTCTTCGAAAATATAAACATGACTTTTGAAAGCAAAATCGATCCCTGGAGCCAGATGTCCCAACGCACAAATTAAGTTAGAGAGAATAAAGCACAATCGTCAATAAGGATATAAATATATCTAGGTGAAACATTTTATGGAATAAAGATGTTTAAATACGATCTCGCTGAGATAGACACCCCCAGTTTCATTAAATATGATCCCCTGCGGTTTCGGTGTTTGTGATTTTCTCTCGCCGCCGCTTCGAGCACTCCCTACGCACAAAACTTTTATACTGTTTTTGTCCCTAGGGTGTCTCTTCAGCCAGCGACTTTGCTTGGAGGAAATCGAATGGTGCTTTGATGGTGAGTAATCTAACAGTTATATTATGTATTAAGTCGACTTGCTCAGATTACGCCTTTGGGCGATGTTTGCCTACAACGGGAAGTGTGGAGGAGGAAGACTTGTATCGGTATGTACTCCATTGCGCATAAGTTTTCTAATTGGAGGTGTTGCAGGTTTGATCTGGAAAGGGAGGTGTTGCACGCTTTAAGTCGTGAACTGAGGAGACTGTTCGCTTTGGGTTACCGTTGGAGTCATGCATATACTCAGTGTACACTGCAAGGCATGCTGTTCGCCGCTAAAAATGAGTAGGTGTCGTCGTTTGTCCCCCCAACCACTAACGTTAAGTTCTAGCATTGCGTTCGACCCGATTACATGTTCACATTTAGTTGATCAAGACTTGGAAGGTGCGCTTAAAGCGTTAGAAGGTGAAGACACTATCGACCCTGATAAAGTTGCAATTGTGAAATTTACACCGAGCGCCGAGAACCCTCACGCCCAATATGCAGATGAAGTCTACTACCCTCCAATTCCCGACGAACGAGCCGCGGCGCGTGACATAATTTTGCCTCCGAATGCAGTCGACGGTAAGTAGGTGAAACAGAGGAAACTCGACCACACGATTAAACATTCCAGTATTTGATATGCCCGATCCTTACGCGGGCTATGAAATAAAGAAGCGCGAATGGATTCCGCAAATGAGGCGCCGTTCCGTATCCCCTACGTACTTTAACGAGTATTATAATAGCCCGCTAGGTTTTAGACTGGGGGAGGAAACGAGAGACTCTCAGGATTACCTATCTGATGGTAACGAGAACGAGTTCCTTACAAACGACATTCCTTACACTTCGACGACGGATTTAAGCGTTGACGATTTCAAAGAATTTTACCCCACTATAAATTTTTTAAGCAAATTTAACCTCAACTCGGATGACGTACGAAAATTGCTGCAACCGGAAAATGTACCGATCTTACAGGCGATTTTGGAAGGGTTCGACAAGGAGGAGAGTAATTACGACACTGACGTCCTCGCACTGCTCAGGCAAAGGATGGAGAATGACGAGCCAGTCGAGCCCGAGAGATTTTCAATGCTCTACAATACTCCGGAAGGTTTCAGATCTGGATGGGAGTCTAGAGATATTCAAGGACTTGGAGATGACTTGCCCGAGTCGAGAGTCTATTATGAGGAGAACGAGGATAACGGCGTGGAAAGGCAAGATGATGGAAGTGGAGAGTCGACGGAACCGGAAATATTTCGCGAGTTGAAACAATTGCACGACAAGTATGGCAATGACGTCGACGTTACCCAATTTACTAACAATCACCAACCGTCCAGCGGTTTGGCTACTAAAACCAGTGATAATAATAACAATAACAATGGACAATCCGGTATCTACACAGAAGGAGGCGTCGTGTACGTCCCTGACTCACAAATTCAGGGTAAGCGGAAGTTTTGCATTGATCGATATTTATATTAATTTCAGGAAACACAAGGGTTGACGAGGAAGAATCCTTCAATAATGACCTAGACGAGTTACTCGAGCGTTACAATAGTGGGTTTAAGAGACCCGAGCGACTCGATGTTAAGAAACCAGGCCCACTCTTCGATTTGCAGCTTAACGATGGAAAGAATCAGTTAGGTAAGCAATTGTGTTCAATATGCAAATATTATTGCGACCTCACCTCTTACTATTTTCAAAATGCAAATGTTTACCCCATTATAAGCTCGTATTCTGACTTGACAAGGGACACCACCTTGTACTGTAATAAATGTATCCAATTCTGTCGTGTCATTTTACCCTAGCTAAATTTATACTCTAAGGGCGAGGGATCATGCGGTGATGTAAGCGTCATTGTGACGAAGCGATATTGGGAGGCTTAGAATAATTTAATTGTGCTCCTGTGATCAAATTAGGTTTTGAGAGTAATCTATTTTCTGATATATTTTTAGAGGAAAATAATCTAATCTTTATAAATTAGTTATTTATTTTGTAGATTTCCTCTTTTAATTACAACCGCGCCTATGATTCGACGCGCCTGCAGAAACAAAAATTTGTTTGTCCTGCATAATAAATAGACCACTACAAAATTATACCTAATTGTTGTATTTGTTTTGTGTATTAAAATGTTTTTAAATAATAGTCTAAGCAGACTTTCATTTCAAAAGGAACTGCCGATTGTAATTTCGATGAAAAATCAAAACTTGCAAAAACACCGTAACGGTAGCTCCAAATTTGCATTTAAATTTTTTTCGAAATTTCGTTGTGAAGTTAGAAATTGTGGAACTTCTAAGAGTAAAGCAGTTTGGCGGGCATTGCATATCATAGAAAGTTTACAGGTTGTCGGGATTTAGAGGGCCGATTTAGTTACAAATGCGCACGCGGCAGCAGAGTGAGATTTGCAAATTAGTATATTTGAAAAGTATGTGGGAATGATTTAATTTACCATTATTTGGTCGGTAGGACGGAATTTTAAGCAACGAATTAACGATTAAGTATGTCCGTTTGCGTGAATAATTCGTCATTTTGTAGGGATTCATTAATGCCAAAGTAATTTCGGGGGGTTCTTTTGGAAGGTTTTTTTATCCGTTCGTTAGCGATCCACGGAAAAAAAGACAGTATCGGTCGCAATTAAGTTTTTTCGGAAAATTCTTGTTTGAGCTGCTCACCTTCTGGGTAGTATATTTTAACGGTAGTCACAATAATTGTAAAAAATAAACTTGTTCGTGGTTTATTATTTCTGGTGAAATTCTTCTCATCATCTTCATCGTCTTCTTATGCTGCAGTATGTTTGCAGACCTACCTGTAAATGTAAAGATTTAAATCGATATTGTGATACCTGGAATTGATTATTTATTGTAATGGAACTCCATGTAGCATACTATTGTATTATATTATATATTAATATATATTATTATATTGTACCTCTAGCTACATGATGTGGAGTCAACGACATCTGAGCGCCATCCCCGAGCGTGTTATGCTAACGTGGTGATTTTTCCTATCTTCTTCTATAGTTTTGGTCCGATTGTTTTCAAAGTCATTCCGTCGTAAAGATCTTGTAAAGGCGCACAACTCCTGCGCGACGGAACTTTATTTGTTCCTAGGGGCGAAATTAACCACCTTTAGCAAGGCGCGCGTCTTCGAGGAGTAGTCGAATTTTGACGCCCAAAAGTTTCTTAAAGGGGTCTCTCTTTCTCGTGTCGCCAATAGCAGCTCGAGCTAAGAGACAAAGGGAATATAGTAGCCCTTGACAAAATGTTACTGATGGTGGAGTCAAAACTGGCTAATAGAATGCTGATCTGCCACACAAAAATGCGCTGTGTTTTCGTTCGCACACGAGGACTTTGATAATTTTTTGTTATTTGGACATTTTGAACTCCCTATATGCGAATTTAGACGACTGACGCGGGGGATACTTTCTGACCCGAAGGTCCAATGGCATACCCCAAAACCTATTCAAAGACGTCTTTGTAACTCTTGCGGTTGCTGAAAAAAAATTTAAGAAGAAACTCAAATTTCACGACTTTTTTGAGGGTGTCTCCCTAACGAAACACGTTGGACGCTCGATTTATTTAGATAAAGTGCTTATTTTGATCGCCTGTGCCACCCATACTTATACGGGGTGTCAATTTTAAAACTTGCAGTCGGCCATACTTTCCAAACTCAAGAAGATATTGAAAATCACGAAAATCCGTTTCGGGAGTATCGAGGAGGAACCAGAATGACGTTATGAGTGACAACCACCCACCCCCTTAACCCCCAGCCCCCCTCTTCAAAAAATTACGCCATGTCTATGTTCAAGATTTGGTCGCTAAATTCGCAGAAACGGGATCTGTTATTTTTCGAGTTTACTTAAAAAACTCATAATTTTGTGTCAATTCACCCCCTACTATTGGAAAATTTTATTGAAACACGTCTATTTAATTAGGTATGGGGAAGTTTAATCGAAGCTATCCCCACTTTAAAATTACAATACGCACTCTTCATCAAAGTGAGACCATTTTAAAGCCGTATGGTGAGCAAATAGAAAAAAAGAATGTCGAATAAGTTTACTACAACAATAAATTAATAGCAGTCTTAAAATGGATTAATTTATAACAGTAATTATTATTTATCCCTTACAATTTATAACATAACAAAAACGCATAGATGATGGAACTGACTGAAATACGCTACAGTTTGCTTTATAGTAAACGACAATTGTTCTAGAATGTTCTTAGAACGCTTCGGAATGTTCTACAATAAACACGCCATTTTTCCCTGAACGATTGCGTCATATCTGCGTTCAGTGTTTATCGCCGATGTCTATCGGGATTTCTGGAATATTCATTACAATATCATTTCCTGCTAATAATAGCAGTTACAACACTTCTCCGAAAGTTAAATAGAAATTATGGAGCATGCGCACTTGTCAATTGGGTTCAAATGCGATTATCACGACAACGGAATGCTGGAAGTGGATACTACCAAAGGAAAAGTGAGGATCATGACAAAACGCATCTGTTGGTTCAAGATTCAAATGCGGATATGTTCAGAACGGAGTGTTGGAACAGGGCACTCACAAAGTGAAGATTAAAGTTATTGCACAGACACATCTGTCGCACTAGGGAAACATAATATGAAACTGCCTCAAATTTTCAATCTAGAGCTTTCCCCCTCAGTTAATATTTGAGTTTCTCGTCATCAATATATTCAATATCTCGTATTTCGTCCAATTGCCATGTTACTTAACAAAAATATGAGCAAAAAGCCAAATAAAATAGTTTTTTATTATACTTGAATCACAATCTCTGTTTTCAACACTCAAATGCGTGCGAAAAAAGGCCTTTAAAACACACGTGCTTTAAAGTTACTAAGTAAAGATACTTCAAGTATGACTTTTGAAACTGTTATCTGGGTGAACCTTTACTGATCAAGGAAAGTTATCAGCTCTGATTTTACTGGACTATTCCAAGGCCTTCGATACAATTAATCACAGAACGCTTATTGACATCCTACATCATATTGGATTTGGTGACGACGCTTGCGTCCTCTTGAAGAGTTATATCACGAACAGGAGGCAGCAAGTTGTTCTTTAGCAACGAACGTCACAGCGTGAAGTACTTGCAGCAGGTGTGCCTCAAGGATCCGTATTGGGCCCGATATTATTCTCGATATATACGTGTAAATTCCATTACTCACTTAAACACGTGGCGTTTTACCAATACGCAGATGACACCCAATTGTTATATCCCTACCTTGCGTCTGATATAGAACATGCAATTAATAATATAAACGCTGATATAGCAAGGCTTTCCGAATTATCCGATTTGCACGGATTAGCAATCAATCCTGCCAAATGTTCTGCTATGTTATTTGGACCAGCCAAAGAAAAGGACGCAAGAAAGGGATGGTTGACAATAAAAGTAAAAGATATGGTGTTACCCATCAACGACTGCGTGAAAAATTTAGGATTACATATTGACAGTGATACGCGGTTTAGTAAACATGTTTCGGAGTCATGTAAGAAAGCCTATGTTAATCTAATAGTTATTTACATATGAGTATGGTAAATCAAGGTTTACGTTAACGAGTGAGATGTTTACTGCCGAAGCGTAGCTGAGGCAGGAATTTCGAAACGAGTAACGTAAACTGATTTGACATACAAATAATGTACAACATTTTATTTCATACTACTCTATTTCTATTAAAATACCATTTTGAGTAGAATGTTGTATGTACACATTAAAATAAAAGCAAAAGTGATGACTTGATTTGTTTGATCTGACAGTAGTTTGACAAATATCAATGCATACGTTTAGATGGATGTCAGTTGCGGTTGCTAGGCAAAATTTCCAGTCTGGTAAAAATTTTCAGTCTGGTAAAATACGATTTACCAGACTCAAATCAGTCTGGGAAAGCGGCGATTACTAGATAGTATGAAATAAAAATGATTTTTTCCCATCGCCACTGTTTAAGTAGACATTTAAAAGTATTGCTATGTGAGGCACTTGTGCTGTCAAACTTTAATTACTGTGATGTGATTTATGGCCCCTGCTTAACTATTAGAGACGAATATAGAATCCAAAAAATGCAAAACTCTTGTCTTCGTTTGATCTTTGGAATCAAAAAGCATGAACGCATTACTTACAAACTACAAGAGCTCGGTTGGTTAAATATGGCTAATAGGAGATTGTTACATTCAGCTTGCATATTTCACAAAATTGTTATAAATCAAATGCCAGCGTATTTATACGATCTTCTAAAATTTAGTTCAAATCCGCGGTTCTATAAATTATTGACACCACCATTTCACAAAACACGCAGGTATGAAAGATGTTATGCTTATAATATTGCCAAAGTATACAACGACCTCTCAAATGAATTAAAAAAAAATATGAATAGCACTACATTTAAAAACCATTTTCAAGGTATTTTGTTGCTTAGGCAGTATAATCAGCAGTAATATCATTGTCTTTCTTTCGTCCATTTTTTTCTCAATTTCCTTCCTTTTCCTTGTATTTTAGTTTTCTTCTTATCGTCATCAATAGCTTCTGCCTTTGTTAATTTAATTTTTTATTCCACCTCCATGTAATGTATTACTACTAGTTATTAAGGGTTAAGTGGTAGAACATCTGAACTTCGCCCTCTTAGGCTTC